CAACAAATCGAAAAGCGATTTTTAATATCAGCTTTTAGATGGCATGATAAAAAAAGTTAAATTATAACCCAAACAAGCGATCATGTATTCTGGAGTATATCGAAGAAAAATCTGTAGGAGTAGGCTCAGCTGAGTAGGATGTATTGCGTATGATTAATAGTCATCTGTCTCTACACACCCAAGTTAAATAAAATATCGTGGAGGCCGAGAAATTAGGCTCACTGTGTAGTGTATTTATTATTTCCTTTTCTGTTGACTTTATCGCTGTTATTCTGGGTGCATATTCTAACATTCTGCTCGTCCCGTTTTAGCTCTCATTCTTCGTTTTTGGTCGATTAAAGCCTATCATTAAGAGGTTTTCTTCTGGCTTGTCTGCCGACCAAACGTGTGATCAGATACATTACAAGTTTCTCGCCAATCATAATCTACTAGGTTACAATTTAATCGACCAATTACAATGGACCGACATCTACGCCCGGATCGTTTTGACACTGATCCCAACTCTCCAAATGGTGCCGATTCCTGGGACCACTGGTATTATACGTTCAATAATTTCCTAGGACTTGTGGAAGAGCATAAACCAGAGAGAAAGATTTGACTTGAGTTACAATAATGAACGACGAACCAGAAAAGGTGACCTCTGTGATTTTTTCAAGCTCTGAAATGTTGCGCAACTCACTGAAATATATACGCGTATCGGAGCTATTTTCGGGTGAAGTACGCAGGCTTTTTTACTCAGTACTTTCACTATCAAATGAATGTCGACGCATGATTAAAGGTATTACGAAGTAAAAAGGATGGGGAATTTTGAATGGGTAAACCGAAAGCTTGTTCGTATCCAAGGAGCTTGTCTGGCTTGTTAAAGACCCAATGGTATCATCATGAATGTGTTCTGGGTACATAGTCGTCGTGAATGTTTGTAAAAAACTTTCGATTTACAGTACGGCCCATTGCACCAGCCCGTCCAGATTTTCTATATGGTAAACGCGTCGAGCAAAAAAAACATTGGTTGAAACCGGTTTTCGGATAGGATTGGTCAATATAAAAACAAAATAGACATGATAAAGCGATCAAATTCAGAAGCCTGCTTAACTGAATGTCCTGCTGAAGGTAGAGAAAATGGATCAAGCACATCACCCGATTCGGTCAAATAATGACTGGTTGCAGCCCCTAATCCTCACATACATGATTTGGTTTGTTACGGCGTGCAAGCGTTTATGATCAATGTCATTGAGATGGAGGTGTGGCTGCCACAAACTCCTCTACTAATTCGTTAAAGGACAAAATTTAGTTTACCGCATGTACGAATGGTGAATTTCTAATGAAATACCTGGAAATGATATTTTTTAAACTAAGTGGTGCGTTAAGAACACTGAGAGACATGACAATGAATCGACTGGAGCAGCGCTCTTGTTGTCATGTGTTGTCAGATCACAATGCTTGGAAGGTTGCATATGCGCAGTCAGACGTGCTTTGGACCTAGGCTCGAGCGCCGCCACCGCCACCCGAATTGGGTGATAGGCACTTTTGCTGTCCGATTCAATATCAAATCTTACTTATCGGGGCCTTATGTGATTCAGCACTCCAAGTCCCGGGGCTTAGATTACCAGTTTCCATCACTGAACAACAGGTCCTGGTGACTATGGGGTTTACCTCGTCTGATGTTCATCACACGAAAGTGTCTAATAAAAAAATATGCGCAGTCAGACTTCGTGTTCTGTGTTGAGCATACAGATTCACTCTTTTTTCCTTCTCACTTACTTTTTTTTAAGTTTGAGTGAATAAATCCTGGATAAGGATAAGTCAGCTTCTTGGATGTCTATTTTGATGGCAGCCCATGCGTGATAGTCGGCGGCAAGGTTGGCGCAGTGTGAGATCCAGTCTTGCTTTCTGTTACGAATTCTATTTACGGATTGGATGCACAGTAATTCCAAATTCCCTTGACCATACTACTCCGGGTCTTCAGTCGACTATCCGGTCGGCAACGCCATCTATGGTGAGATGAAGGTGCTACAGCTCACCGCGAGAGTTGAGTGTCGGGTCTTCGGAGCACGCGGCCGGATCACTGAAGGCACCGGTGTTGTAGCATTTTCGATGTTTTAGCAGCGCCGTCAACATTAATCATTGGAAACCCGAGCTCTCCAATTTACTTGCAAAATGCGGTGTAATTACCAGTGAAAAAACCTCGAATTTTGTATCTTGTACATTTAGCGGTCATGTTTCACAAGCATAAGTGAGTGATAGGGCGGATGGCAGCCTGATGAACCCCAAGCGAAGTGTTCAAGCGCACTCCGTATTGAACCACAACGGTATCAGGAATTGCAGGAAGACTCTTCTAGCTCCACCTATCCGAAAGCCTCAGTATAGTTGGGGTGGGTGTCTAGGGTTGCGGCTGGTCACCCTACCCTTGCACCTGAAGAAATGCTCTCTATACGACCAAGCGTCTCAAATGGCCTCTACTGAGGAAGCCCTACTCACTGCCTTCTCGCGGCGGAGGTGTTTCCCCACCAAAGTGAGAGGACAAAAAACCAACATCCGGGGCTATAATCGGGTTGGTGGACAACTCGGAGTTCACCTAGGGGAGTTGGCCAAAAACCCTGATTCCAAACCAA